GTGAAGAATTAGAGTACTTCAGACTCCTATTCATGGCATTATGTAGGCACAGATGAGATAACAGTCCCGTTTTCAGGGACTTCAGAATACCATGAAAGCTACTTTTTGAATGCTCTTGGGGTAGTTTGTACTTTTTCTTGCTTTGAAGGGCTTCTTGACAGATTTTCATAAGGTTGAGTTGTCAGCTAACTCAGACAGCAACACTAAAATTATGCTTTTCTGTGTTTGAGATTGCCTAAGTGTTTCTTTGAACTCAAACCCCAACAAGTTTTGCTTAAAAGTTCTAAACCAATGCCATTGAAAATGTGGCCTAAAAAGAAAGCCCTTGTTTTCTCTTCCTCAAAGGAGTAGCAGACTTCATTTGATCAAAATCCCAAAAAGAAAAGGTTAAGGATGTATATCTACCACTCTGTTCCACTGGGCCAGTTCATGTGGATTTTCCGCTTTTGCCCTTTTTGTAGGATTGTCTGTAGTAAACAGAAGCCTTGAGTACAGGTTGCATGAGGTCTGGGTGGTGAAACAGAGCTATGGAAGAACACACACTCCACAAACCATTAAGATTGGCTCAGGAAAATGGGTAATATAAAAGAATGGCGCCACTGCTCTTTGTTTTTCTTGACCTCTGGGACCACGTGAGTTCTCAGGTTGTATCTGGTAATATGCAGCAATAAGTGACAAAGAGCCACATCAGATTCTTGTTAGTTCTGCTAGTGTGTCCATGAGCCCTTTGGGACAAGTTACAGAGAATCTCCTCTTTGCTCTTCATTATGAATAGGTGGAAGCATGAGAAGCTCTGCAGGGCTAAGTGTGTCCCACCTCTCTGTGAATGATGGACAAAAGATGTACAGCATGGGCAGATGAGAGAGGTAGGAGAGAATTTATCTTCATTGCTGGGAGGAGGGGTGATCAGCTTGTAGAGGCTGAGTACAACATGTACTGGGGCCAGCTGTTGCCTGAACTCACTGGAGGAGCTGAGACAACTGACCCTCCATCACATGGAGCCCTGCATTATTCCTTTCCTTGCAAAGAACTGAGGGAACATGGAGAGAAGACCGCTATGTTCTGTGCACATGCCTGTCCTGTCAGAGGCCACCTTAGTGGCTGCTCCCTGTTTGTAGTGTCTAAACCACAATCACTTCACAAAATCAGTTTCAGCTTCCTCACTTAACATAGAGCTGAAATTTTGAGTAATGATTATAAAATGCACATTCTTGCATTTAAAATTTGTTAGTTTCATTTAATTTATCTAGATAAAATCCCACATGATAAATCATGTCTAATCACTGCTCAAGCATTCAAATTATTTCTGCAATAATTTGTGCCTGCTGATACGTGAATTTGGGGGTGTTTGATCTGCTGGCTGCTTTAGAGAAAAGGATTCAGCATGGGAGTCTGGAATGCAATCTGTGCTAGGTCTCTTGCTAAGTTGCTTGATTTCTGCATAGTGGGCTCTAAAACTCAACGCATTAAGTTTTAATTTAATGCAAGTTGAATTTTAAAGTGTTCGCAATGCTAATTTAGCAGTTTATAAACTGTATTTCTGTTAGCCAGTGCCCTGCAAAATTACTGATATTTGTGTGGATCAAGGACGATATCTGCCCTACATTTATGTTTAATGTAGAGAATGGATTCTCCTCAGGCCAAGACCTTTCTGTCTGTTTTTTAAACTTTAACCTTGTGTAAAAATCTAGATTTGGCTAGCAAAGCAGTAGTGTATAACCTCTGAATTTGACAAGCTGAGAAACAGAGTTAGCTCACAGGAGAAAATAATTGTTTGGTGACCTCATTCTCTTCTCCAGGCTATCATATAGCAAATAGAGGTGACTTACTAGTTCAGTGGAACCATAGAAAAGGCATGTGTTGAAATCTCAAGAAAATACTCTTTTGACACAGATATTTCCCCATTAATGATAACAATAGAGAAAGCAACAACAATAAAGGACTTAGTTGCCAAAATGGAAAGAGAAAGGTACAGGCTTTCCCAAGATGAGGTTTAAAGTCCTGGACTGTTTCCTTTTCTGCAGCTTTCAGCTACCAACATGAGAATTTGTACATGCAATTCCAAGGAATGCTGGCAAAGGGACTATGTGTGGTTGGACTGATTGTGGTCAAGGTGTTCTGGATAACGAATTTTAACCTTTTATCCAACTGCTCAGCAAGATATCTGAAGCTAAACACCAAATTTAATCTTGTTTTGCAGATATACCTTTCTTTCATATTCCTAGGAAATCCGGGATTCCCTTTTTTTGTTTGGTATTTACTACTAATAACTGAGCTGGAGATTAAATGCGATTAATTTGCACCAGTTTAAGAATTTCCTCATGATAACCAACAAAACATACAGAACTCTCTGTGTATCCAAGTAACTGCCACACACATTCTGGGAATTAAGGGTTTCAGGAAAGTCTTTTCCCTGCCTGAAATTCCAGATAGGTCCACTTACAAGAAGATATATCTTCATCACTGACACCAACATTACCAGCTCCCAAACCACACAGCCACGGCAGGAGTGTGAACCCTCTTGTCCTTATCACATTCACACTATTGAAGAGGGAACTGCAGCAGCTTCCTGGAAACTTTGCTAGTGTATTTTACTGTTTACCAGTTGTCTTAGAACTCCCTGAATGAGACACAAATCAAAATGAAGTTTTTATTTTGCAAGCTCAAGTAAGAAAAAAGATTCAGAACATTTAGAAAAAAGTAAACCAAGATAATAACAAAACCACAGCCCTTGAATAGATTTTATCTGCATTTTTATTCAGTCCAATATATTTTTCCTTCTATGCATTGTCATCCTGCACTCATAAGTCTTTTTTTTTTTTTTTTTTTTAATTAAAGCTTTTGTGGTCTCTTGTAGACAAGATTTTGCTTTCCATTTAAAAAGCACAGAAACATAATTTTAAGTATTTCAGGGTTTTAATTAGCTGAAGCTGAAAAATACAATGTATATAAGAAAAACACCAATAAATACATTTTATTTAAAACTTTTACACAAAGGGTTATTAATTTCAAGTTGTGAATGGATGAATTATACCTTATCATTGATAGAAATTTCAATATTGCCTAGTAAAGCCTTCACACAGAGTTGTACAATTCCTAATTTGACTACAATTAATTAAGTTTTCACAAAATATTTTTCAGTCATAATTGTTTTTATTCACTTTACCCTGCATTTGAGATCAGTGATGCTGTGGTGCAACTGTGATATTCCAGCACCGGGGCACCTTTAAAAAGAGCAAACTTTCCCAAATATTTGATTGTCAAAAAAATGTGTCAACCATAAAACTTTCTTTGTCACAATTTGAAAGTGAAATCAGCATGTGAAACTTAGAGGAAGAAAGTCAGTGATAGAACAGATCTTAAAAACAAAACCAGGAGTAAATATAATGTGTGGAATTGGGTCTCTCCAGGATTTAATAGAACATTAATGTCAGAGCCATGAGAGCACAGATGACCCTAATGATGTTGACCAGACTCTCCTGGGACTCCCACCTACATCTTCTGCCCATGGGCCTTGAAACCCATGCACCATATGCTGTAGAGATGCCTGTTCCCATCCCATTGCACACTTGAGCTCTTTGGACACCTGTATTGTGTCCAGTCTTGTCTGCAGCCCTGTCTCCCGCTGCTGCTGATGGAAGCCTCAGGATGGGCTGTGGGTGCACCCTGTTTCCAGCTCCTGTCACTGCCTGGCCGTGCTCAGGTGCTGCAGGACTGTGTCCTGGTCAGTGAGAGCATTTTCTGGGCTGGGATCCCTCAGCTCCTGGCTCATTCTTCCTTAGGATCCTGTCCTTGCTGCTCCATGACAATCCAAGAAAGGAAATTTTTTTTTTTTGCTTTCCTAAATTGCTGTGTGATCTCTATAAAATACTCAGAAAAGGATAAAAAAGCGGAGCATAAGTACTTCAAGGATGCCCAACACTCAAGAGAAAGGCAATCCACTCACTGCTTGGGGACTTGGAGCCTGCAAGTGATAATGCTGTGTCTGACAAAAGAGAGGCAGATGAAAGAGAATCAGGATAATCCTCTCAACTGCTAAGAGACCTTTATCATGTAACACGAGTGCTCCAAACAGCAGGAAATGTTCTTTATTCTTGGTTAATGTTTAAAGGCTTCAAAGTATGATATTGCTATGGCTGTGAATGAAAAGGACAAATTTTGCTCATAAATTTAGCTCCAGGTTTTCTCTCTTATTTTCTATTCAACTTTTTGCTTTTCTCTAAACACTGACAAAATTGTTACTTTGAGAGACAATGACAGCAGTTGAAAACAGTTTGGTTGACTCCATGAACTCAGGTCACAGCACAAAATACCTTGCCTTGTGTGGGTTTTAACACTCATATTTGCCACTTTATCACTGGAAAGGTGGGAACATTACAGCCTGCATAGCTCTTTTGAATTTCCAATTTCCACTTCCAGGAAACTCTGATTTTAGAAAACTATAGCTTTTCTGGAAACCAAATGCATAAATTTAAAAAAAATTTGCCACAGACAGAAATTTCTGTAAGTGCTATCTTTTAGAAATAACTTCTTTGTTTAGCGGGGGTATTTCCCTAAGAGAACAGAAATAGCTATACTGAGTTTTGGATGCTGTCAGTCAGGAAGATACTTTAGATTCCTTATGATGTTCCTAGGAGCAGCGCCAGATCTGGTTCTCTACAGAAGTAGGAATCTGAGACTCGCTGTGACATTGCAAGAGCAAGTAAATTCAGAAACTCCCTGGAATCAGCTTGCATTTCAACAACGATTTAGGGAGGTAAAGATTATTTGTGAAGCAGCATTTCCTTAAAGATAAAACAAACCCCGACAACACTGCACCGTGCTTTCCTTGGTGCTGGTACAATAACCGCTAATTACTCAGATGTTAATGAGCTGTTAATTGTTTATACAAAGTGGGATGGCTTCAGCAAGAGATACTCTGGTGTCAGAATACAAGGTGGGACTCAGTCTGTATTTTAACATAAAGTTTGGAAGGTTTGAAAACGGGTCTCCTGCTTTCCTGTGAAATCCCTGTGAAAAAGGATATTCTGGGGAGGATACAATTTTTTTATAATGAGCTTATCTCCTTCCAAGAAATGTATTTAGTAGGTGGTGCTGGAGCAGCGACAGGCATATCCCATAGGCTTGGAGTCAATGTGTACCTTAATTCCAGAGACAAAACTTGCTGATATCTTGAGCATCCTCGACTGGCAATGCCAGAGCTTTTTCCTCAGCTCCCTGGCTTCTGGAAATGCTCTTCTTTGATTGCATGTGTTTCATTCTCTCTTGTCCAAGGCACATGAGCACCTATTCAAATTCCACTAAACACCATGACTGCAGATCTATTGGTGTCAAGCACCTGCCTGTGTTATTCTGAGAAGCAAAGCCCAGGTTACTTGTGGAACAGTCCAGAAGCAGACCTGCAAAGGAACACAGAAAATCCCCAGAGGAGTCAGGTTTCTCAGTTGAGTCTGGGAGAGTAGTAACTAAATCATTAGGCAGCCTCCTCTCTCAGGTACACTGCATAAACGGATAATGTGCAATAGGTAGTTGTAGATTAATAAGATTCATTTGGAACATCAAAGAGTGGATTTTCCCTTGAGGATTGTGATTAGAACTTGCATACTTTCAGTGTAGCAAATCTGTACCATTCTACTCTCTTAGTATTGGCAAAGTCTAATTTTGGCAATATTGGGCTGTGGTAGCTAATTAGGTAAGAAGTAGAACGATATATCTATCTATACAGTTCCTTTACCTAGGGAAAAAAAAACCTTTCTCATCCCATTCTATTTGGTTGTCCTTTTATAGAATCTTATTACTATTGTTTGCACTTTTCTCACAAATACGATGAATGCCACCTTCACATTAAGCTGCTACTGTCATTGTTCACACTACTTCTTGATATTTGAGAAAAAAATCTGTTATTAAGATAATAAAATAACAGCACAGTTATAGGATATAATATCACTGGATGATATTTCAAGCTTCAGAACATTTTATGTTTCTTCAGTAGTCTACTTTCCAGGGTGATTTATTTCATTTTTGCTCTTATATTCCAATAGCAACTGTAGCAGAAAAACCTATTACTATCTGGACAAGCTAAAATGCTGCAGCTTTCCTTTTAAGATGCAAATTTACATACATGGATTGATGGTGACATCTTTGCCACTGGAGGTAGAGACGCCTGCTAGGACCAAGCTTGCAAGATTCCTGAAAGCTGATTCAAAACGCAGGGGTCTGTCAGAAAAGATAGATGAAAAACCTTATACTAATCTATAAATTGTCTATTGGCTACCCATTGGAGCCTGGTTTTAGTTCAGCATGCTGGTCCTTATCTCTAAAGCCTTAATATTTAGTTAACTCTGAGAACATCTATTTTCTGCCTGCTTGCTTGCAGCTAATGAATTTTTTTGACTTTTCAGTTCTAGACTGGGAGATGAAGGAGGCAGGGGAACAATGTATCAGTTACTTCTTTCCATTTCCCAAGTTTATAATATTTCCCTTTCAGACTGCAATACAACAGTTCAGATTTCCCCATCACAGAACACGATCAGCAAAATCCTCCTCCATATGTGGTTATTACAGTTTCTTCATTACTTTCCTATCAAAGAAATCCCCATGTTGGCATTGGTAAATGTATTATTAGCTCTTCTCATGAAGAATTCTGCCAGATATTATGCTAAGTAATGTTTTAAAAATATCTCTAATAATAAGGTTACCAACTGCTTGCAGCAAAATAATAACTGTACCTCAAGATTTTTCTGGCAGAAAATCCACCTTAAATGCCTTATAAGTTCCATACCCTTTTTCTGCAAGAAATGACAAATATTAATGCAGTTGTGTCATTTCTAGATTTCAGCCTCAGTCCTGAAATTATTATATATGTGATTAAACTTGCTTACACCTACCATAACAGTGAAGACAGTGGATTTATTAAAATAAATTACATGCTTAAATGGTTGCAATGGCAAAGTCTTAAACAGCAAGAATCTGTTTATTATATCTATTTCTTCAGGATTTTTGTCATAAGTTGTCTTCAGATACTGTTTAAAAGAATAAGTCTTTGTTTAGCATGGTTGTTGCTGCATACAAATGCAAAGGTATGCTATAACTATAAACTCCTGCAACTAAAGAAGACAAGTGTCTATATAAGATGGATCAGGAAATGCATTGGGATACCAGATCCTATTTGTGTTAAGCGCCCATCTACCTTACAAATTGAACCACATTAATATGCAGAAGAGAGCAAGCTTTGTGTCAGAAATATAGGAAACTCCCCACCACTACAGATTCTTTTCTATGGATTGTGATGAAATCCACTGAGATTACAGCAGTGATTAACCATTTCCTTCCAAGCATCTTAAAACTGAGTGAACGATCTGAGATGGAACTTGCCCTCTCCACAACAGCAGGTATCCTACACCACGTGTCTCGTTAGAAGATGATGGTTCATATGAGTCTAGGCTCAAGACAGAGTATTTCCACTTCTTGTGCAAGAATTTTGGTCTGTATGGCCATGGTTTAGAGCAGGTTGGCCTCTCTGAAGAAACTCAGTCTTACAGCACATACTAGATTTTTCTCTCACAATATAGAGGTGATATCTGTGTCCTTGCTGAGAGATCTCGGGAGGCTGAGAGAGAAGGAGAGTTGCTGAGGGGAGCTGCTGAGTTGTGGAACCCTGCCAGCCTTGACACTAGGCTGGGCAATAAACTGAAGAGATAGGACAGTTCTGTAATTTTGCAAGGAAACGGTTCCATGTATCTGGAGAATTTTAATGGCTCTTTGTATAATACCCACAGATTTTTGATGCTCCTACATAGTTACAGAACAACTGCAGGCACTCAATTCATAAGTCTGGTCTTTCTGGTATAATTTCTGCTTCTAGATTTTGTTTCAGCTTCTGAACCTTTCCCTTTGTGAAATGATTAAATTTAGACAACAAAAACCCTGCTCAGTTGGTGCCAAACTGTGAAGAAGCCTAAAATTTATGGAGAGGTATTATTATTAAACATCTTCACTGTATCTCACGAAGCTGAGCACACTCACTCTGTGCTTCCTTTAACTGGTGACATCTGGTGCTAGTCAGGTTTAATTATAACTGCTTTGTAAAGCTGCAATATTTCTTATTTCATCTAGCCTGAATTAATCTTCCTTAACAAGCACTCAAAACAGCCCTTTTCCCTCTAAGTATGTTGGCCACAGAGCCATTGTTGTGACTTATTATTGAGAATCCTTTTTCTGCCTAGCAAAACTGAGACAAAGGAAAGCCTCATCAAGTTTTTTCTGTTCTGCTGCCTTGCATTTATAAAGCTGATATGAATGGGCTACATGCAAATGTCCTTCCTGTAGAAGGTCACCCAATTAAGAGCTAGTGCACAGAACCATAAAGTTTTATTAATACAATCCTTTGACTTAAACTATTTTAATCTAAAAGCTTTTTTAAATTGCTAGCAATATTTTTGAGTATAATTGCAGTTAATATACAGTAATTAGAGAATTTAGGGGTCTGAGTCCTATATTCCTGTGTATATTTAGCACACCATAAACATAAAAATATCTTTAAAAATCCAGTGTTAATTCACAATTTCTCCAGCTTCTTGAGACATTTGTAATTTTTTTGCCCCTCTGCTTTCTGTCATTCTGGATTGTAATTTTTGAGGCTGAGAATTCTGTTTTATTGTAATCCTCTATGCAGGATTACAGGAAAATGTTTTTCCTCAGGCTCACTGGATGTTAGTACAGTCATTACAAAAATAATTAAGGTAAGACCCCAATCAGAGGCTTTAATGAATGGCTGCTCACTTCCTCTGTCTGGATGATGTGTTACTGTGGAAAGTGGAAGGGGAAGAAGCTCATCCACTTCCTCCCCTCCCTTTTCACCTCCGTTATGGTGGGAGCTCAGCATAGGAAGGGAGAGATGATGCTGTTAGAGATGGCAAAGATGTTTTCACAGATTCATAGAGATTACACCCAGGGATCATGCAGTCAAAAACTCTGCTGATCAAATAAGTTCTCTATATTCAAACCACAAAGCATAATTGATCTGAAGTCTTTCTTTGCTCAGAAGAGTTAATTGTTGTATGTTATGGGCAGAGAACAGGAGACCACAAAGCACTGCCAGTTCTGGAGTTTGCAATACTTTTGTATCAGAGAGGTATTGATGTGATCAAAGAAGGTGAACAACACTTTTAGCATGTAATGCCAAGAAAAAAGAGAATATTCCTTTTTCTGCCACTTCTGTGAAAATACTCTATCCATTAATCAGGTATTACTAGAACACAAAACCAAAGCCGATCTTCTCAGGTCTTGGGAAAGTTGTGCTCTTCTACTCCATGCTCTATGTCTTTCTACAGATGGCATAATGTTTTACAGAAACATGGGGGGAAAAAAATTGTTGAATTCATGTAGACTGTAACAGGGGAAAAAAAATAATCTTATTTCTGATCTTTGCCTACAGGGACTTGGTAAGAACTAAGCTTTTCAGGCCATTAAAAAATATATTTAACTTCTTATTAATTGGCAAGTCATAAAGATCACTTGAATGATCATGCTGTGCTTAACTACCCCAATTGCCCTCATATTGATAACACAATATTAGAATATAGTCAATCTTTGTCAGCAGTGAAACATGCTGTGTTTTATAATTATTATTTATAATTAAGGAATTGGTAAAAGAGTCATAAGGGCATGCTGACAGCAGTTAACTTAGTAGCAAACCTGAAATTGGCCGTAATTGCTGTAATAAATCATTTTCACCAGGATTATTGCTACTGTAAAACTAATAGTCTGTAGGAGCAATATGTGATTAAAGACAGCTCCCTCTCAGATCTTAGTGACTAGAAATTTAGAATGTGAAACTAAATTCCTAATGTAGAATATAAAACTAATAGAGCTGCTGATAAAACTGGAAGTTAAATCTTTCCCAAAGTTTTAACAATCAAGGAACAAATGAAGATGAATAACAGGAAAGCTTGGTCAAATTTTGAGGCTAACAAGAAAACACAAACCAGCATGCATGCTACATCCAAAGCCAGCAGCCTGAATGCCTAAAGCAGTCTCAGTGTCATTAAGCTCCCTGCCCTGACAGTGCTGTGGGAGTTGTGTTTTTGCATCAATGAGGGAAGAACAAGGGAAACTGCTGGAATGATACCATAATGAAACAATAGGCATTGCCGTTTCAGCTGTTCTACCCAGAACACTGTATTAAAACTAATATTAGGATCAATCAGCACACTAGCCAAACTGTATCTTCAAATTTCTCTTTGTTCCAAACAAATTTTTTCAGCACAATATCTGCATTTAGTGCCAGTCATGGCTTCTGCTCTCTAGGACTTTTGGCCAATTTTGTCATGAGAGTACCCACCTCACTCTTGCCCTCAAGGAACCATATTCCAAAGCAAAGGATGGCTCTTCTTGGGCCATGCTTGTCATGTTCCATGCATGTAACTGGACTCTAAATTGTGAAAGTACACATGACTAATTTCTCTTCCAGACTACATTCTGTTTCATATTGTCTGAGCAGCACTGGATACTTTCCTGAAGTGTAAAGATTTCTGCATTCCAAATATGTCACAAGATGAGTGACGAACCAGTGCCAGAGCCATGAAAGTTTACACTACACATTTCACAGGCTTATTTTTTCCCTACCCCTTAGAAGTGTACCTCAGGGTACACTTCAAAGTATTATCAGTTTATAAAGAGAAGAGAAATTTTTGGTGTGTATTTACTGGTCTCTAAAAGCTAGTAAATCTTCCTGCATCCATGTACAAGCTCAATGGATCTGGAAGTTCACCAAAGAGTTGAAAATATTAAGTAAAAATTTGAAATGTTTTTAAAGAGTTAAAAGGTTAGAAATACTATTTCTTATATATATCTTAAATGCTTTAAAAGTACTGACATGTTGGTTTGTAGTGCTTGTTGCATATTCATTTAAAATAAACTAACACATAGTAAAGATTAAATTCTTTTGAGTAAGCCTTTCCGACAAGTACCACAGGAAACGGGTTTGTACATGGATGTGAATTAAAACTGCACTCAGGAGGATTATATACTGCCTTTCATATGAGAAAGAAAATAAATTCATGTAGACTATAAAATCATAAGAGCAAAATCAATGCTAAAATTAGGGACTGAATATATAAGAAATATGCATAGAACAAAAATTACAGTGAAGCAAGAAGCCACTGCTACAGTGTTCAGCTGATTCATAACCAACTTCATTAAATTGCTAAAAGGAGAAAGAAGGTCAATGGTTGCTGTTGCAAAACCCATCTTGCTTTTACTTTATTAATAATTTATTGAAGAACAACTCTTCACATTATCATCTGTTACAGGAGCACATACCCTTCTCTCTTACCAGCCCATTTGTGTGTATCTTAAAATACTGACACTGAGATTCCAGCTCAGAACATAGGTCTACAAATAACAAGACTGCAGGACTAATACCACACAAGAGCAAGGAATGTATTGAGTTTAATTAAAAATTTACAGATGATGAAATAATCTTTTCATTCTTGAGACAGGATAGCAAGTGACATTGTTGAAGCTACCTTCACCTTGTTTTATTGGAGTAGCCACGTATGGAAAGGATGGAAAGCTTGCAGTCCACAGGGAAGCTTGTTTCACAACTGCTGAAACATGATGAACAGGAAATTTGGACCCTGGTAGAGGAGAGCCTGGGTGTATTTACTGGATATCTGCATAGCTGCAGAAAGAAACAACATTTCTTTACATCATTTTCTTTAAATTAAACTGACCTGAAACAAATTAACATAGTATACAAAAATTAGGACCAAACTGGGAAATTGAGATAGACCTGTGAGGTTTAAGATGTCTAATTTTATCCATTAGGATGTCAGGTACTGGTGTCACTCATTATTCAGCAGAAATCTGATGATATCGAAGGTGGATATTCCTCCACTGAGCTATATGTCTTAAAATAACTATGTTGCAACTTTAAAACTGGTCTTTTATTTCTAAAAATACTATCCAAATAACACAGGTTTAAGGCAAGATTTTTGGCAAATTCAGTGTCTGCAGCTTATGAGAAGTTAAAAGATGAGGCAGGCTTCTGTAACACTCTCCTACATCTCTTTTATATCTCTTTTATGGAAGAGAATTTATTTTAAGATGATAAGACAACAGGTTTAAAATGATCTCATTATATAAATGGTAGGGGTCTCCAAATTTTTTTTTTTTATTTTTCTGTCCACATCAGAAAATGAGTCTGGTAATGCTTTGACTGAAGTCAGTAAAATTGTCCCTATTCAATAACACTCTACACCTGCAACGGGATTTGCTAATGCATAAAAAGCCAAAGCCAATATAATTGATATGCAGAGGACTTTTATGATGCATGGTCAATAATGAACATTTTCCTTTCTATTTTTCTGGAAGACCTAATTTCAGAATCAGAGGAATATTCAATACCAAATACCTATGTAAAAAAAGGACAGTTCTGCAACCAGTACTCAAACTAAACATTAAAAATCTGTTTCAGACCAGCTTCTGTGGCATTAGATGATACCAGAAATGCATGAAGATTGTAGAATAAGGGCTGATACGAGTTAGGGCCAACAATGACAGAAGGAAACAAATAAAGGCCATTCAGAAGAAATGCCTTCAGAAAATTCCCCCCTTCCTGTTCTTCTGTAGTTAGTATAAAATAAAATCCTAACTTTCTGATCAACTCAAATTCACAAGTGTGAAAATAATTCTGCCTATCCCACAGCATGGTAGAAGTCATGAGACCATGGCTACTGAGAACTAAAAACTCAACTTTGCTGTCCATCAGGCCACAGGAGTACTGCCCACTGTTCCTTACAATGTTCCAGAAATAAATGCTGAGATAGAAATGGGAAGGAACTGCAGTGGCAGTTGGTTTTTTCACCACTGTAATGGTATACTGTAGTTCAGACCTTTCTCCACACATTCTCTCATATTTACAGGTAGCTGTTCAGTCTAGGAAAGCTAGAAAAGCTGCAACGTGCTGCTATATTTATATTCTCCCTAGTCTAATTAGAAAGCCCCATCTTTATAGTCGTGGGTTTATTACCTGATAATCATGTACTAGCACATTGTGATGTGTTTATTTCCATCAGTAGAGGGAATGATGAGTTCTTTGTTCATCCTCCACACTCTGCCTTAGATAAAATATTGGCTTCAATTAATTCAGTGAAAATTTTACCACAACTGGATCAGCATATCATACATTTTATTTTGATAACCTTAAAATGATACACATCTTTCAGTCATTATAGGTTTTATAAGAGGAAGAAGTAAACATATCTAGGTTTATTCCCCTTCTCTTGCATGGGAGTCTTTATAGGAATCCTGAAAAACCACAAAACAAAACACTTATTCTTACCTGGGTATGACTGGTATGCCTGTTTGTATTTTAAAAACAGAGCTGTCTCCCAGCTCTCATCTCCTGTGTGCATCTGCTGGAGTCTGAGCTGTAGGGTAAAATTTAAGAGTCTTGGCCATGCCTAGAGAACACATAAAGATCTCCTCCCTGTGGCTTCCCTTAGAGCTTAGAGACTGGCAGCCAGATTTCCCAGCAGCTAAAAGCAGGAGCTGCTGGCTACTAAAATGCATTCTGACAAACCAGGCATGGCCACAGCCCCCAGGGCTTAGTTCACAGACCCTGCAGCAGTGATAGCCATTATTCATTCAGACAGCAAAATATTAGACTACATAGACTATTCCTAAGGCAGCTTGCACACTGCACAGCTCTTAATTTTCTGTTATTCGTGTGCTTGATCTCAGAAGCACCAGTGGAAAATTTTGGGGGAAATGAAGGCCTAGCATCCTGTGGACAAGCAGGTTTCACAGGATGAGATGTTAAATATATGCTTTGACTTATTACCCAGCAAACCCAACAGTACAAACCCCACAGACTGTTTGGCATGAAAAATTGCGTGATGCAAACTACTGGAGAAGAGATGTACAGCATGATAGCAAAACAGGAAAAGAGAAAAAAATGGAAGTTTTATCAGAATGGTGGTCTAAAAATTTTGTTTCTCAGCACACACTGTTTGAAAGATTGAGGAGAGCAGAGAGTGTCTCCATCACTTGTACAGATGCTAACAAACTTTCTGCTCAAAATAGTGTTCTGTAAATACAAAATCCAGGGCTTGCCTTTAATATTCAGTGGAGCATGACACAGCTTACCAAACCCCTCTGGGAATGTCTAAATCAGTGGTTCAATTTGGATCACTTTTCAAGTGTTTCTCCTAATATCACTGTTCAGTTCCCTTTTATTCACACTGCAGAGTGGTGTCTGAGTGCAAAAACTGAGTATGTGCCCCAGGAACGCCCCTCATGTACCGCCACCACAAAGAGGCACTAAATCAAGGGACTGCATTTCTGCTAGTCCAGGCTCTATCCCACTACCAATGGATTAGTTTTGAATGGAGCCAAAAAGTTAGTGAGTCATTACAAACATAGGAAGGTAAACATGGATGGTATCTATAATATTTTTCTACTTTTTGTGCCCTCTTTCTAATCCAAGAGCTCAAGACTGGATCTCAGCTAATCTTCTAATAAATGCGTGTACTTAAAAACTGCCTACTTTTCTGTATTTCAATGGCATATTATTACACTCAGTTTGCACTCTAAGGTGGTGTAAGGTACATTATTGATTGTGACACAGAGATTAAACATCCATTTGCCATCTCTGGCTGCTTCATGACCTTGACCTAGTCATCTTCTCCTCAGATAGTTTTGGAAATTGCAAAACACATTTCCTGTCTGAAAATTACAGCAACTGGATAAAGAAGATGGTAGCTAGCATGAAAGAAGTGAAAACAATTTGTGTTTTGTGTGTCAAAAGAAGATTATATGCGTAGGTAGGAAATGAAAAACAAATACTTTGAGTTTTAAATTGAGGTGAAAATAAAATTATGGAAAAACAGGGACAATTACATGTGTGCAACTGCTTGTAAGAATAACTAATAGTACCTTTACTCAAGACATAAGAAATGTCTTCAGTCCCTTTGACTCCTGTCCACACTATGAGGCAGCAATGTGAATATATGTGTTAAATACCATGATACACTTTATTGTTTCACACTGTCATAATTTAACCTCAGTCAGCAACTAAGCATCACAGAGCTGTTCACTCCAGTGGGGAGAAAAACCAAGTAAAAAAAAGTTAACTTTGTTGGGTTGAGATAAAAACAGTTCAGTAATTTAAAAAAAATACAATATAATAATAATAAAAGCAACAATGATAATGATTGTAACTATAATTGTAATTAACAGGAGAGGGAGAAGACAAGAGATTCACAATGTAATAGCTCACCACCCACTGACTAATGTCCAGCCTGTCCCCAAGCAGATTTCAGCAGATCCTGGATTACTCCCTCCAGTTTATAAACTGAGTATGGCATTCTATGATATGGCATGTCCCTTTGGCCAGTTTGGTCACCTGTCCTGGCCAGGCTCTCTCCCAGCTTTTAGTGCAGCTCCTCACTAGGAGAGCATGAGACACAGAAAAGTCCTTGACTCAGGGTGGGCAACACTCAGCAATGGCTAAAACATCAGTGTGCTACCATTATTCTCCTGCTGAACCCAGAACACAGCACTGTTCCCCTCTGGAGTAGTATTGGTGGCTGCTTAAAGCACAGATATATGAGAATATCAGATAACAGATTTAAAAAAAAAGAAAAATCTGGAATATTTTCAGTGACTGTTAGGTGTATAAAATAATGTTTCCCAAATGCTGAACCATTTCCAGAGGTGCACAAGTAGTAGAGATAACAAAATTTAAGTACAGGATCAGGCTTTTCTTTAGTCAGTCTTGTGCAGACTTAACCTTCAGGCAGCTGAAACTGGACTGGCACTGTCACTGTGTGACACGTACTGCTACTTCAGTTGTTAGTAGCAATATTTCCCTTTAATTGTGTGTTATCATTTCTATTATTAAAATAACTTCCCATTACGTTCAAGTGAAAAGAAACAATTACAAATCAGAACATGATGAAAATCACATTTTTAAAATATTTATTAGTTTAATGACTGTTTACTGTATAAATATGTTTCAGAAGGCTGAGAAGCTATTCATCAGGAAGATCTGTATCATTTATTCATATCACCTTTAAATGAAAACTCACACTCTGAGGAATCTTTCCACAACCTATATGAAATAAGTGATAAAATTTGACTGGGTGCCATATAACATCAATGGTTATCTTACAAATTCACTTTGCTCTCTTCAGTCATAGAAATATTTATAGATTTGTTTAAAGTTATTTGTTTGCCAATAGCACCCCTCCTTCTCTCCAGCCCACCCCATTCATAACTGATCACTCCTCATTTTCCTCTTACGTTTAGTGCAATATTTATACTGCCAAAATAAATACTTAATACTAGAAAACAGTATCCAATCAGCATACATCTAAATGTAACAATTACTGTAAAGACTCTGGTGAGCCTTTCCAAAATCAGATTGGATGAAGCAGCAGAGGACACTATCTGCTGTAGGGAAACATCTCACCAAAAGCCAAGAAGCAGAAAACCTAATGGCTTTTTCTTCAATTTTTGCCCTGATCCAGGCCCATTTTAACTAGCCATGATGGAAATCTGCTAAATACAATTTGTCCTTGGTTATGTTTGCAGCCCAAACTTACTCAGTAGCGTTTGGGTTGCACGTGCTGCTGCTTCTGCTGTCACTGAGTAACTTTTTGACGGGAGACAGAGATGAAACCCGAGATCCAACCACTTACACATTTATACAAACCTGGTTAACTACCAGTAGGCAGAATTATTTATTCAGATTTGAAAATGTGTGTCTGAGATCAGATGTGGGTACTATATTATATCTTGTTAGCAGGGGCAGCTACCTTGCTCTTGAGAACTGGGAATGTGCTGTCAGCAGACGTGTACAGCCCTCAGCCTGCATTAAAAAATACTAATGACAGAAAGCAGTTTGTTGTATGACTTCTAGTTAATTGATTTAAATAATGGTACTTTGTGCCAGTTATTAACTCTTACAGTAGAAAACATGATGAAGTGGGAAGAATTGCAATGTAACACAGCTTTTTTCAGTCATGTGATTTGAACTTTTTCAGCAGCTGGGTCTGAGATAAATGCAACTGGATCAAGACACAAAGATTCATTTATGTGTTCTCTAAGCAACAGCTTGACTCTTTCTCTGATTAATCTTGTTTAACACATCTGTTTTTACAGAATAGTTGTTGATTTCTCAATTAATTGTAAGGTATAAATGACAAAATTTTTCTTTTAGGAGAAAATGCTTTCTAACATACTACTATAATGAACTGCTCCCATCTGTCTATTTGCACTTCATTTTCTTTCAATCATAGCTAAAATGAATGTAAAGTTTAGGCTCTCTGCTAAAAGTAAAATTATAACCAGAATAATGGCATCTAAGACACAATATCTGTATTAAAAGGCAAGCTTTTAAAAATATGTTGACATTCTAAGGAAAAGTTAAAATCTCTGGTGACTCAAACCACATCCAATGATATCAGTCAAAAATTAAGAACAGAATTTACATCTGAGTGGTTCAAGCGGCACAAAATTTTCCATCTTAATCAAAAGGTCATGAAAAATGTATGACTTCCTAAGATATGCAATTAAAATGGGTACTGAATGATTTTTAAGAAAACTATAGCAAGCTATAACTCAATTGATTACCAAATTAAATTATATTTTGCTATTTTGTAGACATATGTGGTTGTGAAAGAGTGTTCACTCATTAATTTCTTAGCAAGATTTATGAAACACTTGGTTTGAGTGGGGCACAGGGTGTCTACAGTTTGAATAGGAGACACTTTACTGAATTAATCAGTGGGACCACATTGTCATGACTCAGCCCACAAAATCTCTTTTGAATTTACTTAGGGTTCACGGCACATGCAAATTAGACCAGCCTCATGCATTACCACATCACTGCCGTACTCAAAAGTTGAAAGATACTGAAGAAAACTATTCATATACTGTCTCAGGTTTAAATACTTAATTAATTACCATAGGCCTCCTTTTAAGTGTCATGACTGTTTCCTTTTTCTTGCCACAATACTTGAGACACAGTGACACTAGCTGAAATGTATTTTGACAGAGACAAAAGGTATCATCTGCCTTGGGAGCTGTTTGTAGGCTTTTTTATCTTGGAGATTTTGAGTATTAGCCTCTACTCTGCCATCAGGAGAAAAGTTTGCCAGGAAGCTACTCTAATTATCACTGGCATTCATGCCTAAAATACTTCAGGGATTGAGCTCTGATTATCACTGGGAAGGGTCCATCATGTGGAGCTCTGGGCTTTGCCTCACCTAAGTCTAACCCTACAATGTGCTTGGAATGGACCTTGACCTGAGAGCTTACCCATTTCCTGTAGGAGATGTGGACAGGGGGAAAAAATTGCAGTCTCCTCACCCTTTGGCAGTCCCTCTTAAAGTTCAGCTCCCTTGGAGATCTTGGTTTTCTCTCTTTTCTAGCCCTAGTCCAAGGGTCAAGTAGTAGGATACAAGTAGTCAAAAGATTTACCCTGTCCAGAGTCCCCATCCTATAGCACAGAGGAGAAAACTGTAAGGGGATAGAAGCTGTGGAGTCTTCCCCTACCTTATTCAGGTTTTAAACCCTTCTCAATACCTTTCAGTTGGAGCTCTTGGCTTTGTCTCTCTCCTGACCTTAATATAAGCCTAGGCAAGGGATGAACTGTAGCCTGAGATGCCCAGGTTTATCTCAGTGGGACAAACAAGTGTTCTGGTATGAGCTCCTTGCGCAGACTACCCCACCACTGATCCTCCCCCTTGCACCCCACTGCACCTGGAGCTATGGGCTTCCTGTCTCAATCCTAATTCTAACCCCAGGCATGGCCTAAACCTTAGTCCTAAACTTCCCAGCATGGCCCAGAAGTTTATTTGAGAGATAACTCTGTTTCCTCCCTTCCACGAGATGCAGGTGTTGCTACAAAAATGGGCAATTGGAAAGGTTCTGTGTATGTCTTAGATCAACCTGCAGATGTGTTGAGAAGGTCAACCTGCCCTCCCCCACTCTGTGACAGGTGGATTGTAAACACAAGTTTAGACCTCTGGTATACTCCTTACAGGTAAAGTCCTTAGGCAAAAGAAAAAAAGAATGCTAAAAAAAATAAAATTTCCAAGCACCTTCCAAAATTAGAATTGGCTTATGTCAGAATTTCTGCTTTAAAAGAATCTTTCAATGTTAAAACTATGCCATTGTTGGTATTTAAAATGTCAGTATATCATTAGTGAAACAATAAAATGCATTATTTCTGATTAAACATTTCTACTTTATCTACTTTAGTTGAGGTTGAAAATCTTGAGCAACATTGAACATTTGTAAAGATCAGTAGCTATAAATTCTCAGTAAATTAATACCTATAACATTTGTTAGAGGAATTGATATAAGAGACTAAGCAGGCACTCAATTCCTTTTTGGAAGGTGATATCATTCACTATTGTGAAATTTTCCATATCCAAAGGAAACTTCAGTGAATAGAGATATCAAACCTTCTGAGTATATGCTGTAGCACAGGGTACATTACTATAATTATGCCTATAATGGCATTTCTTTTTTCTGGGCACTTATGTCAAGCAGATATGTGTGTGATGCCTAATGGGGCTACTGTTGCAGGAATTACAATTTATAAGTGATTTATTTTGAATAAATGCAGTAAGAAATCTATTTCAACAGAAGTGTTTTTACTGACCCTTTAGGTGCAGGGCATGGACAATTCAAGTATGGCAAAATAATGTGAAATGGGCAACAGCACAGATGTCTACATGACAATTTATAACAATATGAAAGAAGGAAACCCTTTGATTTGTGCTCCATAAGTAAATGACCATTAAAACAAATGCTCATGTAAACAAATATCAGATTGTATTTGAACTGTAGGTTTTACAACAGACTGAAGTTCTGAAACCAACTAGATGTTCTTGTTCAGTTTGCAGCTATTGATTTCTGCTCCTTCTCATATCAATGACTGAAGGCTGATTAATATTCTCTTAGTATACAAACTTTAAAAAGATAATTCTTCAGCTGAATTTATGTAATTGCAGAAATTTGAGCAGTGTCAGATAGCACATTGCAAGAAAAGATTTTCCATTGTGTTAAATATATATTTTTTCTCTGTATGCTAGAAGATTTGATGCTAGCACATCAGAATATACAACGTCTATACCCAAATGTAAGCATGAATTTTAATTTGTATGACATCTTAAGTGCTCAAACATTTAGACAAACCCTCATATACAGGAACAGCCCTAGGAATGGTAAGATCATTTGCAGATACTGCTCAAAAAATGCATTTCTACACTAGAATATAAATACAAAAAGTCCTCAAAAGTCACAAAGAGTATCAACCAAATAGAACTTGTATGCAATTACTAAAAATTGAATAAGGTTATTTTTGTAATGTGTAGGGGTGTATATCTACATCTATATGTATTCACAATCTGCTCTTTAAACACAGAAGAAAAAGAAACAGCTTGGTAAGGGTCATGCAAAAGTATGCATGTGCTAAATGTAATACTCTTGACAAGGTGTCAAAGAGCACATGCCCATCACATGGGAGTGGCTGGGTGTGTATGACTGATATGAGGAAAGTCATACAGTCAGAGAGGTTACATGTATTTGTTTAAATAGATGCTGGTGTTGATGAGAGGCATAAAGATATATATGGTTCTAGGGAGAATAAATTCCTGATGATGGGTTGTAATCAATTGATGGAAATGCTGCATGTATCTGCATATTAAAGTGGTGGGTAGTGATAATATGCATAATTGTGATGGTGGGCAGACGGTGATAACAAGATGTGTGAACAGTAGGAGGTGATGGGTATGCGTGCACAGTAAAATGCGTAGGTTGCAAGGATGCATGTGTGATGCTGAGTATAGTGGTGCTGTGGGGACCATTTTGCAGCACATGCACTGTGGTGATACTTGTGTGATGTGGACCTGCTGTTCTCGACAAAAGAAGGTGGTGCTCTTAGGCAGCAGTTTATATGTAGAGACAGGTCATTACCCATACAGGTATGCTTTGCTCACACAGATGGGGGGCTACAGCCAACAGAATAAATAAGCATTTACTGAGTATTTTGTGTGTATGCCTGAAGGAATGTTTATGCAAGTGTGAGGGTCTGTGTGAACTAGTGAGTAACCACATCTAGTTAATACAGAATGGTCAGGTGGTATATACAGAATGGTGGTGGTGGTGTATGAAAATTGATTTAGTGGTTATGTACAAGCATGTAAGGACAAATTGTATAGTCAAAACAATAACATATAGGGAGAAGAGACATATTGCCCAGCAGGAGAGGCGTATGGAAAGTCATGCTCTTCTTTTTTTAAGAAAATTTTCCTTGCCAGAGAAGAGAGATGCAGTATTAGGACTATCTGAAGATGTTCATGCATGTTTAGAACTGGTGGTGTGGATGAGGTGTTTAAAGTGTCAGTGTTTGCCTAGAGATGACAACAGGAGGAACTACTGGTGTATGTGTGTTCATCTAGAATCAGAGTGTATGTAAAAAACAGCACAGGATAGGTCAGTGTACAGAAGCAGTTGGTGGGTACAGCATGGGAGAAGTTATGTAGTGACAGCTACATACATGCAGCATATGAATGGAGATGGTACCAATGGTTTGTGTCACTGTACAGGCTCAGGAGGTTTTATTGCCTCTCCTGGTGTGGATACAATTCTATCAGGGATATGCATATGTTTTAAGTATATATTAAATATAAATATATTCTAAATGTTATATATAAATATATATAATATATTATATATTTTAAGTATATTTTAAGAGAGGAGGTTTTAACACTGGTAAGGCAGCATGTGGTGATTGACCTTGAAGTCCTCCTATGATTGGAAGCAGATATGTGGGGACAGAGGCATGGACAGCAGGTGATGGTCTTGGCACCACGGTGGTGTAAATAGCCGTGTCAAGCTGCAGTGTGCAAATTGGTCACTCACTCTTGGATGTGACAGAGGCAAAACATGCACCGGGGTGTTACAATATGACGGGAGGCATCTTTCAGGACAGAATGTGGGGAGAGGGGCAGGGCTGCTCGTGGGTGATATCTAGAGCTGGTGCTGGTGGGACAGGACAAGGTAGGGGGCGTGGAGCTGCGTGGGGGTAGGAGGCATGGATAGCGCTGTGTGCATAGGATTGAATGTTTTGGGCTTTGTCGGTCGGTGCCAGCGCTGTGAGGTGGGCAATGCACTCGTGCAGTGACGGGAGAGGGTTACAGCAGCTGCGTAGACATGAGGCACGCTTGCCCAGGTAACACTGCTCACCCACGCAAGACCCAGGCTTTTTTCTTAAAGGACAAAGGACAGTCCCTTTGCCAGGGGTGCCCCTGGCGTCTGGACCTAGGTGCCATGGAGGGAGAGCTGCGGAGAATGGAGGGAGAGGAGAGTATGGTGGACGGGGAGGGGATCAGTGGGAGGTGGGGGAAACAACACTGGGTGGGGAGAGAAGTGCGGGATAGGAGGGCACTGAGTAGAGTGGGGCAGTGGGAACAGGGAACAGGCTGCTCTGGAGCTGCTGGATTTGCGAACAGCCGGAGGGCGGGATGGGAGGCGGGCAAGGGGAGTGGGGGGTGGGAAGGGACACCCACTTACGTCTCCTCCTGCATTTCTTTTTCTTTCCCTCCTTCTTTCCTTAGCTGGTGACGCGCCGCTGCTGTTAATCATTCACCAGCCGGGGAGCAGCAATTGCCGCCGCTCGGAGCGAGGGCGCCGGCAGCCGCCTCTCTGCCGATGCCCGCGTCCCGCAGCCGCCGCGCCGGGATCCCTGGCGGGATGATGCCCAGCGCAGCCGGCGGCGGACGCCTGCTGCTCTGAGCGGGGGCGGGGGGATCCGGGCAGGGGATGCTCCCCAATGGCACCTGCCCCAGGCTTCCGGGCGGTGCAGGCAGCGACAGCAGCGGCAGCGGCGGCAGCGACAGTGGTGGCGGAGGAGCGGGTGGCGCCTCGGAGGAGGCGGCGGCGGAGGGCATGGACTCGGACGGCAGGAATTCCTCTGGCGCTCCGAACAGCACCCTGAGTGAGTCTCAGGGCAGCGCCATCCTCATCTCATTCATCTACTCCGTGGTGTGCCTGGTGGGGCTGTGCGGGAACTCCATGGTCATCTACGTGATCCTACGTTATGCCAAGATGAAGACAGCCACCAACATCTACATCCTCAACTTGGCCATCGCGGATGAGCTGCTGATGCTAAGCGTCCCATTTCTGGTTACCTCCACCCTGCTGCACCACTGGCCCTTTGGCTCCCTGCTCTGCCGCCTGGTGCTCAGTGTGGATGCCATCAACATGTTCACCAGCATCTACTGCCTGACCGTGCTCAGCGTGGACCGCTACATCGCTGTGGTGCACCCCATCAAGGCGGCCAGGTACCGCCGGCCCACTGTGGCTAAGATGGTCAATCTGGGTGTCTGGGTGCTCTCCATCCTCATCATCCTGCCCATCATCATCTTCTCCAACACAGCAGCCAACAGTGATGGAACAGTGGCTTGTAACATGCTCATGCCAGAGCCCACCCAGAGATGGCTGGTGGTCTTTGTGGTCTACACCTTTCTGATGGGCTTCTTGCTGCCTGTGGTGGCCATCTGCCTCTGCTACATCCTCATCATTGCTAAGATGCGCATGGTGGCCCTGAAGGCTGGCTGGCAGCAACGCAAACGCTCAGAGCGCAAGATCACCCTTATGGTCATGATGGTGGTGATGGTCTTTGTCATCTGCTGGATGCCCTTCTACATTGTGCAGCTGGTCAATGTCTTTGTAGAGCAGGATGATGCCACCATCAGCCAGCTCTCTGTCATCTTGGGCTATGCCAACAGCTGTGCCAACCCTATCCTCTATGGTTTTCTCTCAGACAATTTCAAGCGTTCCTTCCAGCGGCTGCTCTGCCTCAGCTGGATGGACAATGCTGCAGAGGAACCCATCGACTACTATGCCACTGCCCTCAAGAGCAGGGCATACAGCGTGGAGGACTTTCCCCCAGACAACCTGGAGTCAGGGAGTGTGTACAGGAATGGCACTTGCACCTCCAGGATTACCACCCTCTGAGGAAGCATTCCTGTCCTCCAGCTCCCTTACTGCCCCCCAACTGGAGGGTGAGCGAAGCCAGGGCTGTGGCATGGGGAGGCTGGGAGGGAGGGGATTTTGGTCCTGCCCACTGCCACCAGTGTTTGGTGGAAGAAAGAGCAAAGAAAACCCCATATCCTTGATTTGCTGCCCCCCTGCACCCTGGTTGCCCCCCTTGAGAATAGGTGCATTATCTGATGCTTTGACATCTACTTAATGAGTTGTGGATCTCATGGGTTGGCTTAGGGTCTGGTAGCCTGGCTCTGCCACTCTCTGTGTCTGACAAGTGGCTGTAAAGGTCCTGCAGAGACTCTCCGTTCATCTTTTGTACAGTTTGCCCTTCCCCTTGGCTGGTGGAACACCCCAGGCCACTGAGTCGAGTCTGCCTCAGTCAAGCCCCAGCAGTCAGGCTCAGACTCCCCACAGCTGAAAATGACCCCATTCAACATCTGTCAGTACACACACCCTCTTCAGAGATTAGAAATGCTGGAAAAATTCCCCCCAACACATACCTTGCCCTCCCCCAGGAAGGAATGAGTAGCGTCTCTCTGTGCCTACCATTCCCTCCCCCCGGAATAAAATAGAAAGCAGGGAGCAAAAAGTCCTCGAGAAAGAAGCAGCATTGTCACGGAATATTTTTTTGCTTTGCAGACAGCTTCCAACTCACTGGGACTTTGGCTCTCTGTGCTACTTGGCAGAAGCAGACCAGAAAAGATCTTAGGAAAAAAATGTGATTATTGGTGTGGTTTGGAGCTGTGCGGCAGGTTGCTCATGACGGGAGATAAGCAGTCCCGTGACACATAGGGAGCAGAGAGCTGGGACTCGCTGAGATGGCAGCTGGGGGGACTGCTGAGTTGGGAAATGCTTGAATCTGTCCACACACACAATAAAGTGTGCTGATAATAAAGTTTAAAGGGAGTACTAGACTGTAAATCTGCTCTCTTGAGCCTGCTCCATCAGCTGTGAAACAGCAATGAAGGGAGCTGAGACAGTTTTTGAATGACTTGGATGATGGCAAAGCCACTTTAGCCTATATGGAAAAAGAGGGAGTCATTTAAAAATCTCCACCAGTCTCTGAAACGAATACTTGACAGAAAAAGTGGCTGTTCAGTAATAGCTATTACCCTAGCTCCAGTTTCTTCTGTTGCACTAAAAAGTCCCAACAAAATGGGTTTCATATGTTGCCAATGTAATATACTGACCCAGAGCTTCTTAATGTTTCATCTCTGAGAATTCTTGTTTTCAATGTGTGCCAGATGTCTTCTTGTTTGATTTTTATTTGATTCTTGTCACTGTGTTGTGAACGTGCTTTTCTGAAGCAATTTATACTGTGTACTTATGGCTGTGGTGGCTACTTGCAAGGTTGCATTTAAAATGGGTGATGCTCAAGAAGGATTCTTTCCAGATAAAAACATTGTCATTTTTTTCTAACTCTTTCATTTACATTGTCTCCCCTACAGAAATTCTCTCTTGAATTTTCTTTCTTCTCCTCTTATGACAAAACAAATTTCATATAGACAGATGAAGCTTTCTTTGATAAATGACAGCCGATTAAATGAAACCTCCTATCCCGACTCCCTTTTACCCACACAGAAGCATCGGTACAGACTGTGTTGAAATTAGCAATGTTTTTTGCTTTCTATCACCTATGCTAACAGTGTCACACAGTGGCAAGTGTCCCAGTAGCTGTGACAAATCAATTCTCTAGCACAATACTGTGGTTGTATCAATTATAACTACTGCCAATATGAAGCAAGAGACTGGAAAAATCTCTAGTAGCAGCATACCCATAGCATTGTACTCGTAGCTGCAGTGCTTAAGTACAGTGTAAAGTGTAAGGTTGACAGTTAAGGTATCTAGTATTTGTAGTGGTGGATTTACTACAGGTTTTTGTTAAATTATACCTTTAACTTTTCTCGGCAGCAAAAAGCAGGATGCTACTTTGTACATTTCTTTCACCAAAACTTAGGTACTGTTAAATGAATGTATAAATTTAGTATTTCAAAGTTGTCTGATTCAAAGTCCATCAAAATGAGAGAAAAAAAATCTTAATTCACTTCAATGGACTGTGAGTCAGCTCTTTTAAGTCTAAAAAATGCTAATGTGGAAACTGTTACATTCTTATTAAAATATTTCATTAAAAGCTTTAACAATTGTACAGTTTCTTTTCTTTTACTTCCTAATAGGCACGGTTTTAAGAAAGCTTGCAAATAATAAATTTTGTAATGTTTTACATGTACATATGGGGAAATGAGGATGAAATTGCTTTATAAGCTCAATTAAATTTTCACAGAAATCAAATGTCTGTCAAAAGAGTAAAATGCTCCATGATATCCATGATGCTATTTCCGGGGCTTCACTTGAATTCTCACTCACAATACCTTCAAGATGGCATAAATCTCATAATCTTATGTGGTCCTTTTCACCCACGCATGTTCTTATGTATGGTCAGATTACACAGAGAGTCAGTCTACTTTTTGCTGTTGAATTTGTTTAATATCAGACACGATGAAGCAAGAGTGAAAAAGCATAGAGATTCCTACTGCATACTCAGCTTTGATTAAAAGTTGAATTGGGTTTTGTTCTTTCATTTTTTTTTTTCTCTTTGCCTTGTGAAGGTTGTAATGGAAGCCTGCACTCCTACCAGCACATGCACTTTAGTTTCAGTTCCCCCAGGCACATGGCAGAGTTTGGGCTGGGCCTTCGGTAGATGGCAGGCTTGCCTTCAGATGGATGGGCTGATTCACTCCCAGCCAGTACTGCCCCTATGATTCCTGGCTCTCTGTGGTTTCAGCTGGAAACAAAATCTGTTTATCCCAAACTAACAGTTGTTCCTGCTATTTTTCACTCTGGGAGAGGTGATCAACAGCAGTAAATCATTCAATTTAGCTAGAAAGGAAGTTAGTTCATTCTGTGTTACTATTCTAAATAGTAGAACATAACCACTGGAAAGATAAAAAGTTGTTCTCATGAAATCATATGTATCAGAAATTCTTAATGCTTTCCAAATGGCAATTAAAAGTATTCAGATTTCATATGGAAATTATTTTAACTAATGCTTAATTCACTGAAAAAAAATAGTACAGTGGTTTATTTCTTGGTGACTTTTTGACCTTTTTATACAGCTGCAAGTGGAAGAATTGTAATTTGTAACAAGTAGAAATATTTTTGCTATTTCCCCATGAGTTTTGGTTTATATTCTAAAAATACTGCATTCACTTTGTCATGGAAATTGACCTTGTGGCCCCTGAAATGCAGGCAACCTTTGCACTTTTTTTAGCCTGAGACCTATACCCAGCAGTGGGACAGCACCAAGCAGTATCCAGTCAATGGACTGGACTGTTTCCTGTGGCATGTATTCCAGAGAACAGTCTTCACATGGAACTCACATCAGGTGGGCAGCACACAGCAGCTGCAGCATTTTGCCACTCAAAGAAAGGTGCACAGGAAATCACTTTCCTTTCTCACCAGGCTTCCCTGTGCAGTAGCAAAGGCAACACATCTCAGAATCCTGAGGCTGGCTGCTACCTGCAGTGAGTGGACTTGAGGAAAACTGGTCACAGAGGCAATTTACATCTGGACAGTGGATAACAAAGGTGATGGCTGCATGCCTCTTTAGATGGTCCCTACAGCAGAGAACATCAGAGTATGGTTTCTTTGCATTCGACTCTTAAAGAACCCATTTGATATCTTCACAGAGAATGAGAATCAGTTTTCTGAATGTAATGTAAGAATTTCTAAAATGCCAGCTTTCCAGTTAATCCGAGTTTTAAAACAGGCTTTCTGATTGTTTCTGGAAATCTAAAAGTCTGCATTTCTAATGTTTATGGCATGCTCTATTAACACTGACTATTTGCTGTATTTCAACCTGTTACCAAAATCAGAATACTAATTCTAAATATGAAACTAAGTCTTACTGAAATAAAATAACCTAGTGATGTCATACATGCATGTTATATAAGGTTTGACTTTACTATGCTGTATTTCTAGAATAGTGACAATTTAATGTCTTATAATCCTGATTAAAAAAAGATTGAAGAAAAATAATTTCAAAAAAACAAGAAGAAATTAGCCAAGAAAAAAATATCAATCCAGTGTTCTAAACTCTGTAATTTTAGTCTCTAGGAACCTTACTTAACACCAGGGCTCTACAGACAAGAATGTGAATTATGAATCTCTAGAAGAGAATAAAATATTTCTACTGAATTGTGTATTTAGCACTTAAATCCTCTTCAATATAGCCTTATTTGGCTGATAACTTCAGGCTAAGCCACAGGAAGAAAGGATGGTTTACTAATTAGATTTCTCTTTCAGAAAAATGCTTTTAGATATTACATTTTGTGGAGAGAAATGGCCAAGAAAAATAGATGAACCTGAGAGTATTTCAAAGTATATCATTAGATGGCTACAAACCAAGCAAAATTTTGACAAGACAGATGCTTTTCAATAAAAGCTAAGTATGCCCACTCCCTTCCAACTTTGTTTCTCCAAAAGCCTAAAGTCTGGATTTGGCAGAGCAATAAGCAGCTATGAAGCAGAGATAGCAAGGTGTTGTATCCTGCCCGAGGTATATAGGTTTTTGTATCCAGTCTGAATGGAATACATTTGTCATTACATGATTATCATGTCTATGATGGATAGAGTCACCTTGGAAACTATATAAATATACAGAAAATTCCTTCTATCCTCCATGCCAACCCCCCCACCAAATGTCTTTTCTATACAGGTTCTTACACTGTGTAATATGCCTAAGTGCTGCACTGTGGGTTCTTGAGCTTCCTAACTAGAAAGGCTCAAATAAAAGTGCCCAAATTCACAGCATAGGGAAGCTGTAGGACAGATAACAATTACCAGATTTTTAACTTTGGATTTGAATTGTGTTGTATTTATGACCTGGAACAGGATTGTATGGTCTCCACTTACCTTGCTGGTGATGGTGCTGTTGTCAGTGCGCGTGTGGGCCCTACCAGCCCAGGGGGAGCTTCAGGAGGGTGCTGGAGTGCACTGCACTGCACTTCAGAAAGCTGAG